ACGAGTACAGGGGCACGATCACTTCCCTACTCCTGCTGGCCACACTATTCCTGATACAAGCCAGGATGCTGTTGGCCTTCTTGGCCACCGGGGCACACTGCTGGCTCATATTCAGCTGGCTGTCAACCAGTACCCCCAGGTCTTTTTCCACCAGGCAGCTTTCCAGCCACTCTTCACCAAGCCTGTAGTGTTGCGTGGAGTTGTTGTGACCAAAGTGCAGGACCCAGCACTTGGCCTTGTTGAACTTCGTACAGTTGGCCTCAGCCCATTGATCCAGCCTGTCCAGGTCTCTCTGCAGAGCCCTCCTCCCCTTAAGCAGATCAACACTGCCACCCACTTTGGTGTCGTCTGCAAATTTACTGAGGGCACACTCAATCCCCTCATCCAGGTCATTGATAAAGATATTAAACAAAACCGACCCTAGAACTGAGCCCTGGGGGACACCGCTTGTGACCGGCCACCAACTGGATTTAGTTCCATTCACCACCACTCTCTGGGCTCGGCCATCCAGCCAGTTTTTAACCCAGCAAAGAGTACACCCATCTAGGCCATGAACCGCCAGCTTCTCCAGAAGAATGCTACGGGAGACTGTGTCGAAGGCTTTGCTGAAGTCCAGGTATACAACATCCACAGCCTTTCCCTTATCTACCAGGCGGGTCACCTGGTCGTAGCAGGAAATCAGGTTGGATAGGCAAGACCTGCCTTTCATGAACCCATGCTGGCTGGGCCTGGTCCCCTGATTGTCCTCCACGTGCCTGGTGAGCACACTCAAGATGAACCTGTCCATAATCTTCCCCATATTGAGGGATTTCCTTTCCTTCCCCTTTCCTTTCGAGATCTGCAACTTTCCCCACATACCTGCTACGTGTAGAATTTGCTGTAGCACATTCACTTGACTCCCCAAAACTCAGTCACGAAAAAGATAAAACACTAGATTTCAACCAGCCATCAGAGTCAGCCTTAGGTCACTACAGAACAGAAGTGTGCATAAACAAAGAACAAAAAAAAGATAAAAAAGACAAAAAGATAAGAAAAGAGCCAGCTATGCTCTTCTGAACATTTAAGAACCATCATCATTTATCAGCTCTTTGCACAGAGCCTCCATTTATAGAAAAAAATGGAAGTGATCTGGTTACATTAATTTTCTGCACAAAGCTACTGACCACCACGAGTTATAGCATCCCGAAATGCTTGTAAATGACCGTGGAATAGGAAAAGCAGAAGAAATTCATGCTGAAAGATACGGGTCAGTGTGCATTGGGAAAACACCCTTGCACGTGAACATGCACACTCTGAAAGGAACCTAGAGCCCATCTCCAGTGGGGAAGAGAACTTAAACAGATCTTTGAGTCACTGCAGTAACTCCTTTGACACATTTCCACGCTACTCCACAGTGGCCAGGACAGTGGCACAGCGTTCATCGTTATCAGTAAAACAAAACTGGAAACCATCAAGCTAGAACATGAAATCCAAAGCTCACCACACCTTTAACACTTTGGGAAATTCTGGTAACGGCCAGAGAAATAGATTTGAAAAGGTACAGAGTACACTATTAAGAGGTCTAAAGGAAGCTGGTGAGGATGCTCGGAAGCTGCAGAACTTTTGCATGAGGAGAAACTGTGGGATCTCTTGTGCTGGTGAATGACTGAAAAAGGGTATAAACAGATGTCTGTAAGTTCAGGCCTAATACTGAGAAAGTAACCCAGAAACAACAATTTACTCCTCCTCATAATGCAGAAAATGAG